ATTTTCACAATTTAACAACTTGTAATAGTGGAAGTTAATTAAACTTGACTTGTTTACACCAAAATAAGTATTAAATATTTGTTGAGACATTCATTCACTCAATTTAACAACTTGTAATTGTGGGAATTAATCAAACATGAGTTGTTTACACCAAAAAAAGGATTAAATATTTGTTGAGACATTCATTCATTCAATTTAACAACTTGTAATTGTGGGAATTAATCAAACATGAGTTGTTTATACCAAAATAAGTATTAAATATTTGTCCACACATTTATTCTCTTAATTTAACACTTTGTAATTGTGGGAATTAATGAAACTCGAGTTGTTTACACCAAAATAAGTATTAAATATTTGTTGAGACATTTATTCTCTCAATTTAACAACTTGTAATTGTGGGAATTAATCAAACATGAGTTGTTTACACCAAAAAAAGGATTAAATATTTGTTGAGACATTCATTCATTCAATTTAACAACTTGTAATTGTGGGAATTAATCAAACATGAGTTGTTTACACCAAAATAAGTATTAAATATTTGTCCAACCATTTATTCTCTCAATTTAACAACTTGTAGCAGTGTAAAATAATTAAACGAGAGTTGTTTAATCAGTTGACATCAAAGCAACTTACCCGCAGACAGTGCACAACATCATTATTGAGCAATTATTAACAGGAACGTATCTTGGCATTAGGGTTAGGGTTGGGTCAGATATGGGCAACGGAATTATTAACAGGAACGTGTCTTGGCATTAGGGTTAGGGTCGGGTCAGGTATGGGCAACGCAAATGGCAAACACCCAATTGGCAAGATGTACACATGTACACTAACAGGTTATGGCACGCATATAGTTTAAAAACACAAAACTGTCAATTTTTTGGACAATTGTAACTCAATAATAGAAATATGTTGTATTTCTATATATATACACACTATATAGTCTCATCAAATGCAAACACAAGCAGGCAATCCACCGTGGTCTTGTGGGTCAGTTGTCTACATAGTGATCAGGAAGACCTGGGTTCAATTCCCAGTCTTTTCTCGCAAACACTAATTTGCAATAAAGCTAAATATGACAACAAATCATTTATTTGCATGACTACCCACATGGTTCAGTGGATATGTACAATGCCAGCAATGTGAGAGATTGCTGGTTCGAATCCAGTATGGTTAGTACCATTTTTGAATGCTGAAGAGTCGTCAAAGTACGAAGACAGTTGACAGCTGCAAGTCACGTGCAACAACAACAACTGACACGAGGAGCATTGCTGCTCTCCAAATGGGTCCCTTCTTCTGTATTGACCCCCTAAGGATTGCTAATCCCCCTTTCTAACTCTTCCCCCCCAAAATAATATATCGCCTCTTTTAGAATGTATTGACCCACAAATTATTGAATATTCATGAGCACAGAAACTGCTACGTCATGAATAAATTAGCATAATTTTAAAAGATTTGCATAAAGTGTAGGTACGTCTTCTGGAGTCCTGCCGTTTTTGATTCTATTATTGTATTGGTTATAATAAGGAGAATAAACTTATTTATTTATTTATTATTTAACCATGGAGATAATTTCTACCCATACGCAAATTTTCGGCTGAATTATCTTGAGAGTTAAATTATTGAATAGATGAGAAGAAGTTGTAATTTTTGATGCGTAGAATAAATGATATTCAAATTGTATTTTTTCAGTCTAGCAATATTTTTTTGAATTCAGGGCTATACTGCAAGATGTGTTTTAATGTCTAGTAGTAAACATGTAGCTTTAAATTCACAAATTTGGTTGCTTTTTGTTGCTTGCTTATAAATATGTGCACCAAATTCAGGCCATGTTAGCCTAGGCTTGTGAATTTATACATAGATTTTCATCCCGTCCTTAACAAGCTCAGCGTTAGTGCGAGATTTAATATGTTTTCCTTGACAGTACTTCATTTTTATTTCAGAGTTCATCAATCATGGGCCGATACACCGGGAAGTCATGTAGACTATCGACTATGA